TAGGTTTGGGATAAGTTGGGTTGTTAGGTTTGGGTGTTAGGATGGGTTTTGGCTAGGATTAGGGAGGGGAACATGTATTTTATTAGAAAAGGACTTTATTTTGACTTAGTGAAATTCAAGTTGAACTGTGGGTGGCCAATTCAAGCTAACCAAAAAAGAGCCGTGGGACTCAGGGTCTGGATGCGGAATTGACGCGACTGGCGCAGCGTCCACGTCGTCACCGACATCGAGAGCATCGTTCTCCACGGTGTCGAGGAGCACAGCGTACGCAAGCTGCTCACCGAGAGGTCTGTGCTTCATCATGCTCGCTTCTGGCTATGTCGCATCCTCTGATTCACTCTCGTCTATAATCTCTTTCTTCGTTGTTATATTCAGCTAAACCTCTCCACCTGCACTCTTGCGCTCTTTGCGTCCTCACCGCTGACCTTCTTTCCTCATGTCCTCCTGGTCTGCCTCGCACGCGCCTTCGCACAGGAGTGACCGCTCCCGATCACCATCCCGCAGTGCGTATGGACGTACGGCGTACCCTGATCCCTCTTATCCTCCCGATACATATCACCGGGATTGGGACGCCTACAGTAGAGAACGCGCCTGGGCCGATTATGAAAGGGATAGAGCTGCCTATGACTATGGCAGGCGTGGCAGGAGTCGCAGTCCCCCTTACGATGACAGTTCGTGTTTTCTTTTCGCTGCTTGTATTCTTTGTTTAGCAACTCTGTGCCGCAGTGGGTCGCAAACGACGCCGGTCCTTGTCGCCGTACGACCGAGAACGATACGATCCTCGTCCGCGATACGATGACTACGGTGAGAGAAATGACGAATCGTGTATGTTGTCGTATTTTGACAGTCCATCAGACGCACACAGATCTGGGTTGTATGGTCATTCGCCACCAGGCAGGCGTGGACAATACGGACACGGTCATGGTTACGGCTCACGTTCTTCACGAGCACCGGTAGATCCCCATACACTAGATTACCCTGCCAGTCTCAAGCAGTACGCTGAATGGTTCCGCTACCATTATCCACAACAAGCCAGCGACGAGGACCAAGCTGACAAAGCAGCTGAACAAGAGGCAGGTGACGGGTCAAAACCGCGAAACGGCATCAAATCAAGGTGGGAGAAGTATAAAAAGGACTTCCTCGCCCAGCAGGTCAGTGTTTTTGCTGATGTCTCTTCCTGTTTGTCACTTTTCCCTCATGCCGCTTTTACAACTGTATGGACTTGTGTTTCGGTTTAATTTCCGTTCTTGGTTACTATTCTGATAATTACCGACCTTTTGCTATTTTTCCCTGTGCGCTGAACTACATCTTGTATCGTAGCTCCAAACGCTTTTTGAGCACCACAGAAAATCTCCGTGGTTCGCAGAGAAGTACGATCCTGCTACGGAGTTTACGGCTTTGCGTGCCCGGGTGCGCAAAGTGGGCTGGCGCGGCCGTATGACCCAATTCCTTAATGACCTTGAGAATGGCAAGTTTGACAGGGAAGGCGACGCCGACGAGACCGAGGGTCATGACCATGAGCGCGAGTCGCCGAAGGAGGGATCAGCTGCTCCTGAAGGTGGTGCAGCAGATGAACCAGAGAGCCCTACGAAACCCGAAGAAGACTTTGGGTTGGGTCTTGAGAACGAAGAGGAAGCCGCAGATAATGCAGGGAATGTTAAGAACGATGCAAATGGAAAGACGTCGTATGACTCAAAGTATTCTGAGAAAGATGAAGTGTCTGTTCTGCCTGAAGGCAATCAAGTGATGATTCGTACTATTCCTCCCGATATCGGAAGAGTGAAGCTTGAAGCTGTGAGTTTAGCGTCCTCCTTTAAAGTCGAACCTGTACTTACGTCAATGTAGGTCCTTAAAGAGTATAACAGCTTTGTTTACCTCGCACTCGGAGATCCCATGCAAAAGCGCAATTATTATCGAGCAGGTTGGATCAAATTTGATGAACATGCTGACATGCAAAACATTCTGTCTACGCTTGGCGAGAAGAAGGTATCTTTTCGTTGATATATTGACATGTCTTCGACAATTACTAACGCGAATACGCACTGCAGATTGAAGGTTTTAAGCTTCACTTGAATCATAACACTCGGCCCTTTTCTGGCAAGGTGCGCACCACTCCAGAGGTCGCCAGTCGTCCGGAGCGTATTGCAAAGGATTTGGCGCAAATAAGACGCATTGCGACGATCCTTGAAGACGAGTACGAGCGCGTGCGGACTTTCCGACCGGAGCCTCCCGCGGCACAACCTGACGGTGCGGAAGGCGGAGACCAGCCGCCTCCGGAGGACATATTGACGCGGGATGCTTTATCAGAGGATGAGACTCCTCCAGAGAAAGGAAGTGATGCGGTTGAGCGGCGAATCGCTCAGCTTACCTCGGAATTGCCTGAACCTGCGAATGAAGCGGAAGCGAAGGCTCTGGAGGTTAAGAAGGTCAGTACTTTTTGCACTTCGAATTCGTCAAACAATACTAATCTTGACTTACTTTTTGATGGCCCGACTAGAACACAATCGCTTTGGATTTGTATCTCGCTTACCTACGTGCGGCTTTCCATACCTGTTATTACTGCGTGTCTACCTCCGACCACATTGAAGAGTTGCAGCGTAAGTGCATCAAGCATGTGCGTAAACCACTGCCACAGAAGCCTGCCTCGGAAAGTGAAAAGCAGGCAAGCGCAAGCGCAAAGCAGAGAGAGGGTGATCAGGTAGCAAGCGCGGAGGGGGTTGGGGAAGGCGCTGAAGACGCCGCAAAGAAGGATGAAATAGAAGATGAAAAAGATAAAGAAAAGGAGGCTCAGGACAAGAGTAAAGAGGGTATGTTTAGAGAAAGAGATCCCAAACATAGCGATTCTCGAGATTTGAAGCGCAATGGTCAGTGTATTATACTTCCTTCGGAGATATTTGAAGCTCAGGCCTTTTTGTCCTCGCGATACGTAGAAGAGAGATGGGTAGAATGGTTGGATAATCGGATTGCCCTTTTAATAAATAGGGATGGCATCGACCCACGTGAATATGGTGGAAAACGCTATGAAGAGTACGTTTCAAGTTTCATTGATTCGATTCCACAAATTCCAATGATTCGAGCCCACGTATTCCAATGATTCGAGTCCACATATTCCAATGATTCGATTCCACAAATTCCATTGATTCGAGCCCACGTATCCCAATGATTCGAGTCCACATATTCCATTGATTCGATTCTACATATCTCATTGATTCGATTCCACAAATTCCATTGATTCGAGTCCACGTATTCCAATGATTCGAGTCCACATATTCCGTTGATTCGATTCTACATATCTCATTGATTCGTTTCCACAAACTAATCATTATTCGGTTCTCTATTAGTGAACTCACAAAGGCTGTCGAGCCTCATGTCAAACAAGAAGATGAGGGGAAGTTCAGGTGCAAAACATGCTCTAAACTCTTCAAGGCACCGTCATTCGTCGAAAAGCATGTAGCGAATAAGCACCCGGAGCTTGTTAAGCAACTTGAAGACGTGAGCCAGTAGTTGAACTCTTTAACGAGGAAGAGTACTGACACACTATTTCTTAGTTACCTTACTACAATAACTTCGTACTTGACCCGCAGCGAATTCAACCTTTCACGCATTATCCACAGCAGGCCGGGACCGGACCGACTGCTCCTCCACAGGCATACGGCTTCCAGAACATGCCTCAAACGTTCATGGATCACCGCGGTGGTGTCGGCGGCGGAGGAGCGGGAATGGGCCCCGCACCTGGAGCGCCACCATACTATGGCTACCCAGGAGCTTACCCGCCCTTCGCAAATGGAGGTGGCGATCCCTATGGAGGATATCCATACGGCTACCCATATCCACCTGCCCAAGTGCCGCCAATGACACGCAGTCTTCGTGACGAGCCGCCTCTTGCGGCGGGCAATGGAGGCGGGCGACGGCTCGGGGACCGTATCGGCGGCTATGCCCTAGATACCGCCCCGATGCACGGTATCGAAGGATTACCCGCAAAACCCGTCGCGACGCTCGAACCTGGTCCTGGAGGCCGTCGAAACGGCTCTGCACGCGGTGGAGCTCCTCCACCTCCGCCTGACGCGAAAGAAGACCCTCGCGCTGCTGCGGGGCGGAAGGTCAGCTATCATGACATGGACCTTGTGGCAGAGGGTGATGTAGAGCTGAATTATTGACATTGAGTGGCTGATATTCTGCATTCCGCATTCGACCTTCCTCCATTGTTTCGAGACTCGGTAATGTGATATATACTGTGATTAGGTAGTTCGATGGGCATTTCAGACGAAAAGGCAATTATGCCATTTGATAATATCAATACACTGAAATTCACGGACTGCTGGCTACTTTGGTATCATGAGTGTTAGCAACAGGAGTTGACGATTCAGTTAGGATCCGATGAGTGTTTTCCGCACAACTGAGATAAGAGTTTCCCATTGGTACACTTGCCAGTGAATCTGTACCCGAGATATGTATTGCATCCGTTAACATGTAGTCTAGAATACACTCCCTAAAACCTTCTCAAGCTGTCCAGAATCAGCTTCCGACATCCCTGTCTGGTCCCTTCGTTTTCTCTTGAGTTCCATATCTTTATCTTTATCCCCCTGCTCGTCACCTTTGGAAAGATTCCGTAACTTTTTTAGCGGTGGGAGGAGAGATGTCTTCGCGTCCACCCGTTCACCCCTCTTCTCTAATGCCTCCCGTTTGCGCTTGGCGCGCTTGTCGAGAACACGGGCGAGCTCGACCTGGCGGAGGTAGTCTTTTTGCTCGCGACGAGATTGTTCAAGCTCGACGCGAAGACGAGCGGTGCGGATGGCTGCTTCATTTGCTGCACAAAATAATCACAATGAAAATAAACAAATTGATTAACACGTCAGAATAGCGACTAGAAAGAAAGCATGGCAGATACGGACCGATTTGCTCAGTGAGCATGTTCCATTTGAACTTCGGAAGGTATTTCATCGTCCACACGTCGTCTCGCCAACGTGTTCCTTTTTTACCCCCAATAGGTTGCGCGTTGAGCATTTCTGCTACCGAGCGTGCGACGCGCTTGTCTGCGAACTCGACCCAACCCTCGGTGAAGTTGGCTTTCTTTGTTGAGGTGTACTTTTTGCGGAGATATGCACGTTTCGGGTCTTGTTGACGTGCATGCGTAATGCGAATATGAAGGAGGTTTAATATGGAGTTATATATATATATGTATGTATGTGTAAATCGGTATTCATTCAGTGACGTGAGAAGGGAATGAAGTGGCTACAAAGCACATACCTTCCTGCTGCAAATACACTCGTCCCACTTCACCATGCTGACTCATGAGATGACGGACCTTCGTGGGTCTCATACCAGGAGGGATGCGCGAAATATATATTACGCCAGCTCGTCCTTGCGCTGCACGGAATGCGGCGAGCGCCTCTGGAGTTAATGGCTGCACAGTTCTGGTCTGAGAGGGTCCTGCAAAGCCTTCGGGATCCAGGCCTTCTTCCAGTTCATCTCGCTGATTGCCATTTTCGCTGTAAGCAGAATCGTCATTGCCATACTCTTCTTCGCTACCGACATCATTTTCGACGCGGTTAGATCCAGAGTGTGAAACCGGGCTATGAGATCTGGAGTGCGACGGCCCGGCCTCTGTTTCGTCCAAGTCAAGTCCAAGTTGTTTGTTAACCATCAAGAAAGAGCAGCAATAACGGGTGGTGGATAATGTAGAAATAATTTGATGAAACAAGCGTGGTGGTTGCAGAGCACAGAAAGAAAAACTAAAAAGTTTGCGTGATCGGCGTAACTGCTTTTAGATATAAACTAAATAGCGTAAAAGTCTCAGCATGATTAGAAGATTGCATCAGACCTGTCCCACATATTGCAAATTATTGAGCCTTGGCTCTCGGAGGGAAACATAAGAGCTGAAATACTGATGGAACCGAGTAAACACTAGTATTCACTGTACTGAATGAACCTGGATAAAGTATTTCAGAGCAAATACATTGCAGCAAATTACTGTGATACAAGCATGTTAAGTAATCAAAGCATACACAGAAGACAGAAAATTTTATCAAGATCAATGTGGCTCAACATTTCCATATCATATCAAATGTTATTCTAAAGGAGTGAATTGGAATCAGAGCTATCAACGAGCCGAGAGTGTTAGTTGACATACATACTATCTAATTTAAATGCATTGCTCAGTGTCTGTATGGAGGCACACTAGCAAGTACTACAATCCAATAGCATGGAAGCATTTTATGTTACCATTCAACAGTCAGACAAGCTTGCACAAAGTATTTCTCAAGAAAATTTGGTGTCCACATATTTGGTACAAGCAGCTTAGGAATGTAAATCAGACAAAAGTTGGCTAGTATATAAACAACTCTTCAGATACCTTTGTTCACAAAAACCTCAAGGACGTTAGTGTTTCTGGGGTCCAGCTTTTTGTTTATAAAGTATTCTTCAGCTTCACCTTTTACTCAACCCATTGTACTGCTTATGTCTGTTGTTGTTTCTGCACAATGTATTCCATAGCACTTTTCACTGCTGTGCTTTATGACTCTAGTACATAGTATTCTGCACCCTTGTAGTAGTGATCCGATTTTTGACAAACATTCTGGCAGTCATCACTAAAGACAAGGAGGTAGGAATTGTGCAGATATCATGCAATACAGTTATTAATATTAGTTACTCATACAGATCAGATATTTCTGGGTAAGTTCTGCTCCAGAATTGTTATGTATTCCTTGTCTAACACATACAACACAGTCAAATCCATGGAATTTCAATAGCACAGTATTCTTTTCTGTATGTACTTATCACAATATTTGAAAAAGGGTGTCTAAATATTAAAAGATGGACTAGCTCCGCTACATTGGACTTTTAGGAGGAACTGCTTTTGTGATCTGTAAGCATGTTGAGAAGCAATTTATCAACAAGGAGGAATTTTACTAATGTCTCTCTCAGACAGTTACTGACTTTGGAAGTTCCCTCAAAATGTAAGTAACTATATCTGTTGTTATATTCATTATATTTAGCTTGAATATCACCCTTCCTAGATTTGAGCTTGCTTGTAATCTTGCATTTTACACAGTTACAACTTTGGATAAAGGCCAAATAACTGGCTGGACATATTTACTTAGTGGTGCAGGTCTAAATCCTTTGTTTGTTATGTCTACTGAATCAGTAACTACTAACTAGATTGGCTCAGTATAGTACTAATGGGATGTAAGAATCCGATCTTGAATTGGTCTTAATAGGCCCTTAGAGGCTCATATACAAAGTCAGATATTATACTCATCCAGGTCTTGGCTCTGTGTCACATGAGTAAGTCTTTTCATTTTCATAATTGACTACTTTATGCTAAGCCTTGCTAGATAAGTGGTTGAATATCTGCCTCAAAATTCTATTTAGTATTAGTACAGTCAGTACACTGTTGATTTTAATCTTTAGTATTTTGAAATCCAGTGGTAATTTGTAGGGATCCGAGTGTACTGTATACAGGTACAACTGTACTCTGTACAGGCCTGTACAGGGTACAGTTGTAAAAATACAACTGTTTTTTGAGTTCTAGGACACAAGTACAGCTACAGTGTGTACTGTATACAGCTGTATATGGTAATATGCTTGTAAATACAAATTTAATATTATATTAATAGAAAGAAATAATTAATATACTTTAAAATTGTTAAAAAGGCCTATTATTACTTTATATGTATGTCCCTATCAAATTAGCACTTGTTATGCCCATTTTCATCAATATATTCAGTAAATCTGAAATATAATTTGTATGAAGTAATAAAAGATAGTTACATGACTAACTATTTTGAGAAGATAAATAATATAATATTAATACATTGACCCTAAGATTAGCTAAATTTGGTGTTTTTATGTATAAAAGGTATATTATAAGGTATACAAAGAGAAGAAATAGTTATAAATTGTGCTACACATGTTATTAATACTGAAAATCTTCTTTGAATGTCTGTACTCTGTATACAGTCATATACAGCTGTATTTGGCCTAATAGGATACAGGATACAGCCTGTTTTATACAAGCTGTATTTGGTGTCTCAAAGTCTAGTACAAGTACAGATCATACTGTGACTGAAACAGGTTGTAACTATACTGTATGGTACAATTTGGATCCCTAGTAATTTGTTTGCTTACCTTGTCTTATACTATAGTACTAACTTACTTCTAGTTCAGATTCAGATGATAAATAATGGTAGCAAAACATGTGCTACTGAAAGAGGGCCTCTATAGCTAATAGTAGTATTATAGTAATGTTAACAATGAATACATTTACTACTTCTGACTTCTGACAGGATTATACTACTAGTACACAGATTTTGTCTGCTCATCCTTACATTGTGCAAAGCATACAAATGCTTGAAACTATCTCCTGGGTTGAGGGGACTCTACATTGTCAGGATTCTCATTAAGGACTAGGCTAAATATTATGTCTTGTAAGAGAGCTTTCTGAGCTCCTAGTAATTTTGCTAACAAGATATATAGTCTTACCCTGTACAGTATTACAATACTTACTATTTATCTTGTGAACCTTGAATCAGGAGCAGCAGGAATAGTACAAGCAATTGTAAACCTAATGATTTTAGACATTATTAGGAGCTGTATCCTAATAAATTTGAAAGAAGCAGGGGAGAAGGATACAGACAGTAGGACAGTAAACAATGTTGGGACAAGTAGTAACATACAGTTTGTACAGGATAGAAGCACTTATGTATAATCTACAGTGTTGGTACAGATCTCTGTGTTCTTATTAGAGTATAGTGTTCTGTGAGAATCTCTTTTGTCTCATTATACATATCCTGTAAGTGTAGTAGAAACATATAAAGAGTACTATCTGGATTTTGAGTAACATCCCTTGTTACACTTGTTGTTACAGTTCTCTACTCTCCTACCTTCAGTTCTAAGAGTTCTACACCCTTCTGTACTAGAACTTAGGACTTTCATCCCTTAGGAGTACTGTCTATAGACTATATGTATACTAACTCTTACTACTACCCTTCCTTACTTCATCATTCCATTCCTTTAACCATCCCTTCATTCTTTGTTCATTCTATAGTCTCTTACCCTTTGTCTATTCCTTCATTCTTTGTACCTTTATCTTTGACCTTCCTTTCTTTCATTCTTTGTAGCTTATCATTCTTAGTAGCTTATACTCTCTGAGTACTCTTGTGTAGTTTAGTATATATAGGTGTACAAGATCAGACTAGTCCTGTAGTCTTGATCTTGTCTACTCTAGGTAGTCCTGTACTCTTAGGCTTACTCTATATACTCTACTCTTGTCTTACTCTCTCTCTCTACCTGTTCTGTGAGTTCTGACTACATTCTAGTACTTGTGTTCTGTATTTCTGTTGTGTAAGATAGTTGTAGCCTGGGTCCTCTTACTAAGCCTTCAGGTCCCCTCTACACTGTTACTGACATTAGATTAAAACTACCTATTACTACCCTACAACTCTCTTACATTTTGAGCATTAGTACTTACTATTGTGTTAATCCCTCTTCTTTGTCCTAACCCTTTTACATTTTTAAATTTTAAACTTTCTAAACCCTTTTAAACTTTTACTACTCTTCTTCTATTCATTACCCCTTTTAGTTTAGTACTGATTCCTTTGTAGTATAAACATAGACCCTCCTATACTGACTGTCACCCCTACTGTCCTACTAGATTAGTAGTTATAAGCAAACCTAGCTTAATATGTATAGACCTCTATCTAAGAGGCCTTTACTAACTATGTACCCTTAACCCCTTTAGAACCTGTTCTAGTTGTTCCAGAAGTTACAACCTGTTCTAGAAAGAAAGTGTATATAGTCTACCCTTTAGACTTTAATAGGTAGTACTTTAAGGACTTCTAGTACTAAGTCAAACTATACATGACTGTTACTTTAACTAATCTATTCTTAGATCTTGATTGTGTCCTATTTGTCCTCTCCTTCATAAAGGAAGGCAACACAGCCACCTAGGCTCAGAACTGGATTGAAGACTATTAGATTAGAAGTCTGATTCAACTTCAGAACAATAAGTTGTATTTGGAATTTATAGAGTAGCTCTGTACTTCCTTCATTAATCTGAATAAGAAGTACAATATACAGAACAAGCTTGTGTCTTTGTAACAGGGTAAACATTCTACTAATACCTTCTTTCAGGAGTTCAATATCCTGGCCTAGAAGGCAGGATTTGTACTTAGGTTTGATAATGTTCTTATTAGAATACTGGAAAAAGCTCTTTACCTGAAACTGGTTAATAAGATTCTTAGAATAATACTAGAACTAGTTACTTACACTGAGTAGAAGACATATACTATTTCCTTTAACTAAACTGTAACTTGGATGTGTTAAGTCTGTACAGAATACTTACACATGTGTCTAGCTCTGACAGTTCTGAGCTCTCAGATTAATCCACCTATAATTTGTAATCAATCTGTTCTAATGAACATTAGAGAAGCCTGAAAGTAAGAAGCATACTTTGTCTACAGAAAGTTGGGGTACTAGATTAAGAACTGTCTACAGAAGTGATAGTATATCTGTCAGGTCATTAGAGTAATAATGAGTAACAAGCAGGATTTATAGTAAGAAGCCTTTTCTACAAATCTGGAAGTCACCTCAGAACTCTTAGACTCTAACTATGTACTCTAGGATTTTGTAGAGGCCTAGTAGTGAATGT